TTAAGCTTTCCAAATGGCTATATTACCATCCATACCTGAAGTTGAAAACTCAAGAACATTCCATGCCTCATCATACTTCATTGGTCTAATACAAGTAACAGTGTTCTTATGAGTAGTAGTAATTTCTTCTACAGCACTCTTAACTGCAGCAGTTCCTCTAGATGAAAGAGATTTGAAATGGTCCATAGCAGACATTGTTCCAGTAGACTTAGGTGCTTGTTTCTGGTCAAGTTCTTTAACAAACTTCCATCCATCATCTCCACGTTCAAATAAACATGGATTGAAATGATGTCCAACAGCAACAACTTTATTGTCACTAATGCAAAGAACATCTAAGAATGGTAATGTTTTACATTTAATAGTTTGAACTGTTGGTTTTCCATTATTAGCTTCAATGAATGAAATAGAAGAATCATGTGAAACAAAAACAACAGTTGTTCCAGATGGTGTATAAGCAACAGAATGAACCCATCCACTAGCTTCAGTTTCAAATAAGAAAGTACCTAATTTGCATTTTGGAGATGAAATGTCTTCTTCTGAAAATGGAGAATATGAACCTTTTGCATCTAATGTTTTATTAAAAGCATTAAAAATTCTTGCTTTAAAATCAGTTGATGCAGCTGCTACAGTAAGTGAGTCTGGAGACCAAGCTACTTTAGTAACAGTTGATTTGAATTTTTTAACATGATCTGAAGCCCACCAATTTGATTCTTCATTAAATCTACAAACAGCAACAAGTTTATTTCCTGAAGCACAGGCAAATTTAGTTTCATTTGGTGACCATTTAATGTCAGTTGCAGCAAAGTCAATTCTCAATAATACAAGAACTGGTACCCATTCTCCATTTTCATTTTGAGTCCACACATATGCATTTCTATCTTCTGAACATGAAACAATTCTATTTGACTGTGCAGCCCAATCAATTCCAGTAACACGTGCATCATGTTCATTTAATTTTGCTTCAGTTGTAAATTTATTACCATCAAAACTAGCAACAATAATTTCTTTGGAACATGGAGAATAAGCAATTTTAGTAGCATCACCATTCCAACAATGACATCCAATATTATCACAAAGATGGAAACTCTTTGGAGCTGACATTTCTCTAATTTTTTAGTTCATTTCTAGATGAAGTTCTTACCTCCACTTTTATTTTTTTAAATTTTCATTTTTTCCTTTTTTTTTTTGTTATTTATATTTTTTTATTTTTTAAAGGAGTTATAATAAAAATAAATAGGTTATGGATTTGATTGGTAAGTGATATTTTTCTTATTCCTTTCAAGTTTCTTCTTTAATTCAATTAATGGTTGAGGTAAACCATTCAATCCTTTAATTGGGAAAGACTGTTTATTAATTTCATTTAGGCATATCAGTGTTAAACTAGAATGATAATCTACAATAAGTTATTAAGTTTAATCTAATTTCAAAGAAAACAAACATAAGTCAGAACAAACTATGCTGTACAAGATACAAAATACAGTTGTAAAGAAATTGACAATCAACAAAGTCTTTTTTAACCGATTCATATTCTGGCATATGACTTATAAACAAAGAAGACATTCTCTCTGTTTTTCTTTCTAAGATCACACAGTCTCCATTCTCAGATTGCGCTAAAATTTTAGTGCCTTGAATACATCCAATAAGATTTCCTGTTTCATCAACCCATTTTAACTCATGAAGAGGAACTTGTGAACTTGTATATCCATTAGACTTATAGGGAAGTGGAATATTTTTCCAAAGTATAGTTTTATCAGAACTCATATAAGTAATTTCTCCATCTATTCTTCTTGTAGTCAAAATCAGTCTTTGTTCAATTCCAAAAAGTGTACATAGTCTTCTATTATCATAGATATGAAGTCTATTAAATGGTCCTTCTTGGTGATAAAACGTTGCATAAGTTCCAATAATATGTTTGTTAATTCCTTCATTCATATACATTTCTATTGATTCAAATTCTTGTTCTGTGAATTGGTAAGGTGCTCCAGCACAATCTCCAAGAATGATTACATCTGGTTGTATAATTTCTAGCATTTCATAGCTAAAATTTCTAAACACAGTAATGACTAATCCCATATCCCCATATAATTTCCAATTTGTTTTTAGATGTTCCCACATTTTATTACCTCCTGTATGAGGGTGTAATACAACTACCTTAATTGTCATGTATTTTAAAGTTTGATTGTCTTTTTATATAGAGGTTCTTTCCGTTCATTTAGATTCATAAACCTAAATTTAATCACAAGATTAAGTTTTGATATTAATGTTTATTTACAAAAAAAAGATGAAGAACATAGGAAGAATGAAATTAAAATATTACAATTATTTCTATGCAAAAACAAGGTCTTGATCTTCTTTAGAAGCCTTTTGTTTAAAAGTAGATAGTGCAATGTCAGCGTCAATCAAAAGATGATCATCAAATTTATTTTCAAGTTGTAAGAAGAAGATTGAAATATCATCAAGGTCTAAACGGTTTGACAAGATTATATCACGATGTTCTAATAACATAGAAACAGCAATGAAATAATGAAATTTATTTTTTGGATATGCAATTATTGCATCCCAAAGCCGAATGCATTTTTCAGAGACAAAGTCTCTTCTAAATAATAAAATAAGCCATTTGTACATAAAAGAATATCCAATTTTTTTCATATTAAAATATTCTTCAAGTTCTAAATCTAATGTTTTTACTATTGGTCCAATAATACAGTCAAAAGGGATTTTACTATTAAAAATAGAAGACATTAGTTCAATAAGTTGAACAAAGATAGAAAATAATTCATAGTCATCTATACTACATTCCATTATTCCAACTAAAATATCACTCATTCCTTGTTGATATCCTTTATCTAAATCATATATTATCCAACATTTCATTAATAATTCAATGCAAGTTTTTATTTTTTCAATTGGACAATTCCAATACTCTAATACACTTTTATTAACAGTTGTTCTTTTTACATCTTTTAATATTTGTTCAATTTCTTCTCTAAGTATTTTACAATGTTGAATTTGAATATCAACTAAATTATTAACTTGAAGTTTGATCTTTTCAAATATATTTTTATCTATTGAATTTCCAAGACATTTTGACCATAATGAACAACGACAATCATTATCAACTCCTTTATAAAACAATCCTTTTCTAATAATACTTTCATTTTCATTATTCCATTGATAATTTTTATTAATTTTTTGAATACAATCAAATTGTATTTGTTTACACCAATTAATTCTTTTATCTTTTTGTTCTTGATTAGATAATTCATTAAGATATTTAGGAATATCTATCATTCTTGGTAATCTTCTTTTGTCAATAGAAATGTTTCCATTACAAAAATGAATTCCAAGTTGTTTTAAAAACTCACAAAATTTTGGGAAAGTCCCTTTTTTAAATTCTATTGGTTTTATGTCAACTGGAATAGTTCTTCCTGGAATAAAAGTAATTTGTATTTCATTTGTTTCATGAGAAATTTTATATGTTGGAGTATCTTCAATACAGAAATATATTTCATTTTCTTTGTCTTCTTCATTTTCTTCTTCTAATTTGGGTGTTTGTGATGGAGATATTCCTGACAATACATTTTGATTTAAGTATGGTTGAAACTTAATAAAAGTATGTCCTTCAATTGTTGAAATTAATAACACACCTTGTTGTGGTGGTTTAGATAAATAAGTAATATTATCCATATGTATTATTTTATCTGTTTGTCTTGGAGAGCAAATAATATAATTTTGTATAACTGACTTAGAGGATCGATAAGTTTTGTTATTTGTTTCTGTTTGAGGAGGAATTTGAATAGTATTTCTTGTTCGTGGTGTAGTAAGTAATTTTTCTGTCATGGATAGTTTCCAATACAGAAATGATATTTAAGATGAGATCTAAAATCTTAACTCTCTCCTAAAAATATATATTTTTTTTAATAACTTAAATTTGTTTTATAGAACAAAATAACTTAAATTTGATTTAATTTATAAAATATTTTGTAATTCTTGTGTCATTCGGTTGTAAATAACAATCGTTAGAACCAATTGTTTGAACAATAAATTTATTTATTGACATTCCTATTAAATTTATATCTGATTGTGTGTATTTAGTATTATTATACATTAGTGTTTTAATTCTCTTATATCCATTAAGTTTTATTTTATTATTTTTTTTAAATTCCATTATTCCTTGATGAGACTGAATTTGTTCAATAAGAATATTATTTGTTAAAGAATCTATTTCTCTTCTTCTTTTTTTGATATCTACAAAAGAATCATCAAAACTATCACTCGACAGAATCGTTTTCATTTCTTTCATTATTTCTAGTATTAAAAACATTTGAGAATTGATTTTACTTTTTTTATGAGGTTTTTTAATTGTTATTGAATATCCAAGTGATATTAATAACCCAATTAAAAATGATTGTTGGTGACAGTCTCTATCAGTTGACTTTCTTTTCGCATATAACATTTGTAAGGATTTAGGTGTTTTCGTACATTGTGCAATGTATGTATTTTCTGTTTCTTGGGTAATCTTTCCTTTGTAAAACGCACTCATTATACAGGTCATTTTGATATATAAATTACATGTTTTACATGTTTAAATAGTTTTAAATAAATGTCATTTACTCCTTTGGATAAATTAAATACAGAAGATGTGAAGATGATGTTTATTGTAATTTAAAAAGGTGATGTTTTGTTGTTCAAAAATTCAAAAATTAACATCAATTATACTATTAATAATATTATATTGTTCGTTGTTATGAAAAATGTGTTTTTCTATGAGGTACTATTAAAAATAAAATGACGCTTACCAAAACAACTTAAAGTTATATTAATAAATTGAATTGAAAAAATTCTATAAAATAGTAAAATTTTATTATGTTATAATTATAATATTTTATGTTATTATAAGATATCAATTTGGGTTTTATTCTTTCAATATTTTAATTTATTTAAATGTTTTTAATGTCTATAAAAATTATTATTTCATCTTCGTATGTTTTAAGTTTATTTATTCTTTAATTATATCTTTTTATAAACTAATTAGTTTCTTACATTTTTTGTTTGATTCTTTAGTTTATTTTTCTGTTTAACTTATTATTTTTAGACTTCTTTTGTTGTAGCAATTTTTGAATGGTTTTTATGCATAAGAATGAGGTGTATTTAAATAATAAAGTTTTTTTGTTAGTTATGCGGAAATGATATGAATGATGTTTATAATATATACTTTTCTCGAATTTTTTTCTTCACAGTTGCACAATTGAATTTGTTGGTTTTTTTAGAATATTATCTTGCGTGTTCTATATTTATTAATATCATTGGTTTGTTTGGTTTTAATTTATATATTTCTTAAATTTATTTTGTGAAAAATTATTATATTTCTATTTGTTTTTATTAATAATTTCAAATAATTGTTGTTCATTCCATTTTACATTTATTATATCATTAATCATTACTTCTATTTAAATTTACAATTATTAATGTTTATTCATTTTTGTTTATTCAATATCTACTTTATTTTTATTTCATAATTTCTTCATAAATAGGAAGTGTTTGGATATCAATTTCAATCAATCCATTTTTTGTTTGTTAAATCTTTTAATAAAACCATCTTTTTCAAAAATAGATATGATATTAATTGACTTGATGTAATTGCAAGAGTCGAGTGTAGAAGTTAAAAGAGTTATAAATATAAGTGTTAAAATAAAATTAAATTGACATTTTGATATTGTATATTGAAGAAGCTATTTATTGAAATTTTCTTTTGTTTCTTCTTTTGTTCTTTCTCAATGCGTCATTTTTATTTAATATTCAAATTAGTTGTTGTTTTGTAATACTGTTTTGTTATATTTTAGTGTTAATACCATCATTTGATAATAAGAAATTATAAAATAAAGAGAATTAAATAAAATGAAAATTGTGATATAATTGAATAAAAGAAAGAAATATGTTAATAAAGAACTTGATATTTTTGAATTGAATCATAATAATTAATATATTTTTTCTCGTGACATTTATTTTAAATTATCAATTTTTCATTTTGTATGAAGGTTGACTTATTTGTTTGAATATAATCAAAAATTAATTTGATTATTAATTAGTAACTGCAAAATAAGCATACATAATTAATTTAATTTCTTATTCAATTCAAGATTACTTGATTAAGAATTAAATAATAATTAGTTTTTATTATTTAATAATAGTTTGTATTTAATGTTTTTCTTCATTATTTATTATTCTTATTGTATTATTTGTTTCATTTATTTTACTTATTCATAATTATTTTTATTTCTTTTATTTCTATTTTATTTGTTTTTGAATATATATCAATTGATTTAACTAATACATTATATTTTAATATATATGATTTGTATAAGGAACGAAATAAGTAAAGAAATAATGAGTCTAAAATAATTTACAAAAAAAGAAAAAGAAGCAAAATATTTTGAATCAATAG